ATCACATCGGGAGCTGAATTGAGGATGAACTGGTACGGGGAGACCAGAGGTAAGCAGACCCACCAGTAGGCTATCGCAATAGTGTACACTTGAGGTGATGAGGGCCTGCACCAGAGTAGTAGCAACATCAGAAGAGAGAAGGGGCTTATTTAAGACGTATTGCAAAGGTGAAGTTGACACGCCTTGGCAATAGATTGGATATGGGGGTGAGAGACAGTGAAGCATCTATGATGAGGGACAGAGAGTATAATGTTGCCCACTGCAGTGAAAGGGAAGTTAGGAGGAAAGGATGGTTTAGGGGGAAAGATAATGAGTTTTGTTTCAGACTTATTGAGTTTATAGGATGAAGATAAAATTTTTTTTGTTTAGGTCAAAATATCAAACAAATGTACTTTATATATAGGAAAAAAATAGACACTATAATTAATGATTTTTAAATAATATTTTCCTAACAAATGATTTAAATCATGTTTTAAGCTGAATTGATTTAAATTCAGTCCATCCTAACTAAACATATATTTTATCAAATAACTAAGTTATAAGTTATAGGACTATAGATTAAAATCTGTTAAGGGCCTCAGAGGCCATCTAGTACAACATCCTGTGACTTGCTAAATGTCCTATAGGTAGTGTCAAAAAGAGAACCTGAATTTAGGCTTTCCTGACCAGAAGGCGGGCAGTCTATCCACTACACCACACTGCCTCTGATGTAAATATAATAAAACCCTCATTTATGGGCAGTGGAAAGTATACTTAGTTCTAAAGTCAGAAGACCTGGATTCAAATCCCAATTCTGACGCTTAATATCTGGGTTATCTTAGGTAAATCACTTACCTCTGGGTCTAAGTTTCATAAGCTGTAAGAGAGGAGATTGGCCTAGATGTCTCTAAGTTCCTTGTCAGCTCTAGATCAATGATCCAGATAAAACTTTAATCTGATAATAAATAATTTTATACTCCAGTAGCACCTCATTTCACATTTTCAAATACCAAAGTAGACTCCATATTTGACATGGAATAGCCCTCTTACTGAAATCCTTTCAAATCACATAAAGAATAAACAAAAATACACAGTTCACACCTTAACAACAGCTGGTTTTTGAGGAGAGTTTCAACCATTTGCTGTTTCCTGTGTGACCCTGGGTAAGCCACTTAACCCCTATTGCCTTGCCAAAAAAACCCAACCCAAAACAAAACAAAACAAAACAAAAAAAAAAACAACTCAACCCAAAAACAATTTGCAGTTTCCCATAAACTAGTTTCTATTTGTTGCATTCAGTGACAGTACAAGTAAACCCACTGTATAAAAGGCATTTTATTTACAAAGCTTTGAGGGGCTTGTTTGCCAGAGCTTTACATTTTAGGAAGCAGATGAATTACTGTAACTTAAGTTTTTAATGACTTGTAAAACAGGTCTAGTCTGAGGCAACAGAAGTTCAGAGAAGTAGAGAATCAGTACATTCTAAGGATTTATAGCCTTTGGAAAGACTTCCCACAGGTTTATGTTCTCCCAAAGTAAATCCTTCATAATAAGACGATATTGAATCACAATTTTTGGACAGCAAAGATGGAGCTGAGAAAGTCAAATGAAACAATCATGTGGTTGGACTGCTGGCCAGGGAAAGACAAAAATTTCAAAGGAAATCAGTCCAAAGAAAAGACTAGTTAGAAGATTAATCAGCTGTGAAATAAGTACTGGCTCAGAAGTCTATCTTCTAGGAGGAATCAAACAGAAGTTTGAACATCTATTTTCCCTCTACTGGGTTTTCATCAATTTTACCTCCACAAAACCTCTTGTATCCATTCCCTTTTTCTCCACTCACACAGTCAACTCTCCCCCTCTGCCCCCCCCAACCCTGGCCCCTTCAGATCATTATCACCTGATGCCCGGATTTCTGAAATAGCCTCCCATTCACCTCACTGTCTCTATTTTCTCCCTTCCGATCACAAAATGGGCAAATAGACATTCTGAAACCATGCCACTCTGTCTTCTCAAGATACTCTAATGGCTCCCTATGGTCTCTAGAATAAAATATAAACTCCACAACGATGTTTAGCATTGTGCACATTTTGTCTCCAGTTCGTCTTTTCAAACTTATTGCATATTATTTCTCTTTACATACTTCCTGCAAAAATGGCCTACTTGCTATTCTCCATAAACAACGTGCTATCTGCCACCAGCAAAGGCTGCTCCCCATACATGCAATATGTACTTCTTCCTATATACACTCCCCTTCTTAAGTCTCTTTCTAGCTTTTTTCAACATTCTGTTTAAGTACCACTTGTTACATGAGGTCTTTTCTGATCGAGCTAGTCCTTAGTGTCACCTGTCCCCATTTTACTTTGTATTTACTTCCCTTATATTACAGATATGTTTGTATATCTACACGTATGCATCTATATCTACCTATCTATATTTTGTATTTACTTAGCTCTATACATGTTCTTTCCCCCCATGAGTAAGCATGATGAGGTCAGTCTGTTTCATTTTTGCTTTTTACTCCTAGTGCTTCACACATAGTAGATACTTGATAAATGCTTGTTGACTGTTGTTAACAAGCCTGACAAGCCCAAGCTTGTCCTAATTTATTTTAGGAGGGCAGGAATGACAAAATGATTATATATTTTTGGACTCAGGGGCATATTATTTAGAAAGGAGAATTTCATTTCCTGAATACAGAAGGATATCCTAAGCAGTAAGCTACTAAACTATTATTATTTATTTGAAAGCTTAAAATTTAATCTAATCAAGGGGGAGTCTTTACAGGTCCCCAAATCTGTATTAAAATAGATAAGATTATCTTGCTTTTACACATTCAGTATTAGCATTATAATACTACTCATTTATCTAAAATGTAAAAATGGCAATCTCGGGCAAGAATAGTAACTGATATGAAGGCCTAGTAATAGGTCACATCACACACAAAAAATTACTTACTTCTTGATACAAAACAAAACAAAAATGACTGATAGTAGCTGTGTGATCTTAGGCCTCTGGACCCCACTTTTCTTAATTATACAATGAGTAGCATTAGTTGACCCACAAGGCTCCTTCCAGCTCTAACTTTCAATGTTTATCCCTATTTTCTATGACCAGTGATTTAACACATATACCACCAAAACCAAACTACAAAGAACATCACAAGAACCAAATAAATAATTTAGCTTTTCAAAAGATTTATCTAAAAGAGAGTTCCTAAACCACAGTAGGCACATAAATTAACTTCATTAAGAGCATCCTTATAATAGGATATTCTGACTGCAAACAATAAGCAAAGACTACTAAACATGAACAGTCATACAAATAAATAAGATTCAAAACAGTCAACTCCTACATCATTTTGGGAAAAATCTAAACATACAATGAAGTGGAAAAATAGGGAATGAAATACTACTAAAGAACATTTATAGCTATTTAAAGGGGACTATATAAAGCTACCTCAATCTGATATCTATGAACTGGCTGAGGCATGGCAGAGTCACATAGCAAAGGCCTGGAAGCACCAGTTTGGAAGTTCTCATGGGATGGGTACCAGCAGCAACTAAGAGAGAATATGATTTACAGTGCCATACTGAAATAAAAGTTGTCACAAGAACATCATATAAAACATGTAAACAAAGACTACTGGAGACAACTAAAAATTATTGAACATAAATAAACTAGGAAAATTAAGTAAAATTGAGTTATTGTTTTGAATGAAGGCATATGCTTAAGAAATTAAAATAACTGAACTTTTTTTTTGTTGACCTTCAGGGATAAAAGACAAAGTTCATTTACCAAAAATTTTAAATAAGCGAGATCATGTTCCCTGAATATTCCAATAAATAGTAGCTGGCATAGTTATTTATTGTTGATGCACACATGCCATATCTTCTGAAATGGTTTTTGTGGTCAAAGTCATCCTTAATATAGGAAACCTGATTAATGCAAATGGCTGTTTGTCACATTATAATTAAAGTCACTGTTTACCCTTATGGCCAAAAGCCAACTCCTCAACTTACTTTCCCCTCCACCTTTTTTATTTCACCTTATTGTCTTAAAACACCCACACCCACCCACACACCATAACTCCCTCACCACTGCCTGATTCTCTCGTTTTTGGTTTCTTTTTTGTTTTCTGCCTTATCTACACTTCTGTCTCCAGCATTCCTTTTCTTTAGTTTCTATAGCAAACTCTGCTTTCTCTCCTGAAGTAAACAGTTTTCCATCAATCTGTAGCTAATGGTTACCCCCTTTTCTTTCATAATTCTTCTCTAATAGTCATGTTCTTCTCTATTTTTCAAATCTTTACCCTTCTTGTTCCCCAGATGTTATCAGTTGTAAATAATACTTTGATCAAAAGAGCATTTCAAAGATAAACCAATATACATGAAAGAAAAAAATGTTTTTATAATTGATGTGAATATTAATTTTCAAAATAGCTTTAAAGTGATAACCATAAAATATAGATACACTGCTCTACAATTCTTAACGGTAATATTTTAGATCTGAAGTCTATTTCTTTTATCTCTTCGTAGATAATACTTGTGTCACAAATTAAATTTCAAAGAACTAAGCACCAAATCCTTAAGAAGAATACCAACACCAATTAAAGGCTATAATTTTCAGCCTATAATTTAAAAAATGACAACTACGTAACCACAAGGAAAATAAGAGGTAACAATAAAAGAAGAAAAGAAAGATATGTAATACTTCTAGAATGTGAAAATGAAATAAATAATTTTTATAACTTCATCTTTAGTGTTGATCTGCACATGCATCTAAGATCACAACTCCTTCCCTAGGCTAACTGCTTTTAAAGGTTCCAAGGTCCACAAGGTGCAGCACTGGTTCCATGAGTGGGGATCTATGGAGGCAATTTTATAAAGAACAACGGCTTTTTTTGTTTTCATTGGATTGAAATGGTCGATCACTTTAAGTTAATGACATCAAAAATCTGTTGAATGTGTTGGTTAAAAACACATTAAGTTGGTTAAAAATATTTCTCTTAAATATTTTACCTCACTTTCAAGAAAGAAAAGAACCAGCATCCTGATCAGGTTTCCATTGGGACTGTTCCGACCCCTCCTCTTTGCTAATGCTTCTTCTGCTTGGGGGTCATGCCTGCTAAATAGCCTAGAAGGAAGTAACACAAGAAAAGACTATAAATTTCATAATATAATATTTTCCCCTTTATTAAATTTTAAAAAGTGAAAAATAAAATAAACTATTTTCCCTCTGCATTTCATTGTTTTTTTACTGCTTTGTCAAATTATCTCAAAAAACAAAGAAATTAAGATCCAAATGAACAATACAGGCTGATATAAATACTCACACCAGTTTAACACAGCTCAACATAAAAGTTTATATTTAAGAAATACTTTTCCTAACTATGCGTAATCTATGAAAAAAATGCAACAGTTACTACCATTATGATTTATGAGTACCTGGTACTGCAATTTTCTATTACGCCTTTGGGAAATTGGCAGAGTCTCCAAATTAGAACACTTAGCAGGAGAAATAACTGATTAAGATACTGACTTTATAATCATTGAAAAGAGTTTCAATTCATTACCCCAAAATGTCTTCCTCAAAATAAGACTGTTGAGGAACAGCAAATGAAAAAAAACAGTAATATAGGAAAAATTTGGTTTGGTAAATGCAGATTTAAAACAACATAAAGCAAAGGGGCTTAATTCTGCAAATTATTTAAATGTAAAAGAATAAGAACGAAAACACAATAAATTCATAATGTTTAATAAAAATTCTAAGCACAAAGTGATTTAAAATTTACCTAAATGGGCAATTCTACTCAATTTTTACAAATCTGTGGGTAAGAATTACTATATCTACACAACCATTGGGATTTTTTTTTAAATGAAGAAATCTTTGACCTTTTAATGCAAAGCATCTATTTTGCATATATTCAAAGCACTAATGTAATATATTCAGTGGACAGGAGGAGGAGTTGAAGATGACAGATAATGAGTTCTGAGATCAAAGGATTGTGTACTTAGTGCTGGAAGGGACCTTAAAACCCAGCTAGCACAGTCTTCCCCCACCTCGGCCATTTTTAAAGTAAAGGAAAAAGGGGAGCCAAAGAGGAACTAAGGCAAAGTCCCTTTGGTAATAAGTATCAGACATAGGATTTGTACTCAGGTCCACTGACTCTGGTTAGTGCTTGTTTTAGTTTTGTATGCTGCCTCCCTAGATCTACTTGTAGATACAGATACATTTAATACCTGAGTATCCAAAATGCCCTTTTATATAGCCTGTATCTACATCTAAAATGTTAAAATACTGAATCTTTTACAAACTCCTAAGATATAAACTCATTACATTAAATTCTCTAAGATGAATCAAATCGATGTTGAAGAAAGAACATACTAAAAAAAGGTCTTCATATTCTAAACGATAAAGCTTTCTGGGTAGATAAACAATTTACTCAATCTGCCATTTGACTCCACATCTACAGACTATTAGGAAATACACCCGTATGCAATGCCATTACAGAATATGAACTGACTAGTACCATCATGTCAATAGCAGAAACCATGGTGCCTGAAAATATACCAGCTCTATCAGAATACATAAAAGTCTAGGCTTAAAGTCAAAATGGCAGAAGTGTAACTAGGAAGAAGACAGATGAGTGGTGCTATCGCTATCTGCTCTAGTCTCCACTATAATCTTACTTTAAAAGAGAAAACTTGACAAAAAAAGAGTCTTAAGTAGCCTTCATTCTGCTACAGTCCTTGGACTAGAAGACTTTTGTATGTATAATCGAGCAAAAGCAGAAAAAAGCAACTGAGATCACCCACAAGGACTGACTTTGATATAAATTTCTGAGAAAATTGGACAACTTATATCAAGAGAAGTTCCAAATTGATATGTGAACAAGATATAAAAGATCACATTTTAAATAAATTAGAGAAACATGGAAAAAATTACCGATCAAATTTATGCACAGAAGAAATATTTATGACCAAATAAGGAATAGATAAGATGACAGAAGATAAAATGGATAATCTTGACTACATGAAATTAAAAGAGAAACAAATAACAGGGAAAAAAATCTTTGTAGTAAGTTTCTCTGATCAGAGTCTCATTTCCAAACTATGCAAGGAACTAGGTTAAATTTATAAGAAAAAGAACCATTTCCCAATTGATAAAGGATCTAAGGATATAGACAAAATTTTCAATTAATTTATTTTTAGTTTTCAACATTCGCTTCCATTAAGATTTTGAGTTTTAAATTTTCTCCCTCTCTCCTCCCCTCTCCTAAAGATGGCATGCAATCTGATATGGGCTCTACTTATACATTCATATTAAACATATTTTCACATTAGTCATGATGTAAAGAAGAATTATAACTAACAGGGAAGAACTACAAGAAAGAAGAAATAGAACAAAACAACAAAAGAAAAGGAGAGGAAATAGTACGTTTCCATCTGCATTCAGATTCCTAAGTTCTTTCTTTGGATGTGGATAGCATTTTCTTTTTCTTTTCTTTCTTTCTTTTTTTTTTTTGCATTTAAAGACTTTATTGTGCAATGTGTTCTGTAACTTTCACCAGACTGCCAAAGGGGTCCATGATACAAAAAAATCCATAAGACCCCAAATTAGTGGATGATCAGAGGGTATAAAGCAGGCTAGTATCATTTCTAGCTTTAGGAGGCAGTTCTGAACTCCAAAGGATGGCCTTGGCATGTGAAAAAGAGCACTTTTCCAGGGATGTCAGAAGTCCTGATGTCAAGCCTAGCATTTTCTGACTCTGAGCAAGTTAGGTAAATTCCCAATGCAGCAGTCTCTGTGTCTACTTATTCTCTAGGTAGGTAAGCAGAGCTGGAAGCTCTAGAATCCAGGTTTTCTGATCCCAAGGTCATTTGTGATCTGAGATCTGCCCTTTAATAACTATTTCATCTTGTGGCAAGTCACTTAAAGTCTCTGAATCTCTTTTTTCCTTGTCCATGAAATAAGGACAGTAATCCTGGAACCATCTCCCTAAGGGTAAGACTCAAAGAACTGTGGAACTGATGAAGTCTAGAGGGTTAGGGGTGCGGGGACCCTGCGATCATGACATGTGGGTCCTGCCTGAAAGAATTTGACTCAAGCTTTCTTTCAGCCAAAGACAAGATTTATTAAAGATCTGCCATAATAGTCAGACTCTTAAGGAATCTGCAGGTCTGTGATATATTGGCTAGGTTGTAAAAATCTGAGCAGTGACTAGATTATAAGAATCAGAGGTGGACAGCATTTTCCATCATGAGTCTTTTGGAGTTGTCTTAGTCCCTTGCACTGCTGAGAAGAGAAGAGCTAAGTTTATTAAAGTCAGTCATCACACAATGTGCTTGTTACTGTGTACAATGTTCTCCTGGTTCTGCTCATTTCACTCCACATCAGTTCATATAATTATAAACACAATTTTCAAGGGAGGAAATACAGGCTATCTATAGCCATGTGAAAAATATTCTAAATTACTAATAATTAGAGAAATACAAGTTAAAGCAAATCTGAGAATCTTGCACCCATCAAATTAGCAAAGATGACAAAGAAAATGATAAACCTTGGAGGGGCTGTGGGAAAAAAAGCTTACTGACTTGCTGAGAAAAGGAAAAAACAAACAGGAAATTAAAAAAGCATCCATCAACTGGGGACAAATTGTAGTATATGAATGTAATGGAGTACTATTGTGCTATAAAAAATAAGAAAATAGATGATTTCAAAGAGACACAGACAGAGTTAGAACCACAACAATTTATTCTACAACATCAATATTAGAAAAGTGAACACTTGTGAAGACTTTTATAAACTGATGAAGGACTAGGATAATGAACAGAAGTAGAAGCATAATTTATACAGTTAACTATGACACTGTCAAAACAAACAACTTTGAAAGTTATAAAAATTTTGATCAATGTAATGACCATCTATCATTCCAGAGGACTAATGATAAAGAATGCAGTCTACCTCCTATCACAAAGGTGATAGATTCTGGGTGCAGTATGAGATATATTTTTGAACACAGCCAATGAGAGAATTTGCTTTGCTTGACTATGTATATTTGTTAAAAGGAATTTTTTTTTAATGGGGTGAGTGAGAGAGAAAACAGATTTCTGTCAATTAGAAATTAAATTTAATTTAAAAATTTCAAAAAGAAAAACTATCACCATGCACTTCATAATTTTTTAAAAAAATCAGTATAAATTGCTCTTTTAACTCCTACACACATTTGTATTGAAGGTAAAAGTTCTCAAGGCTAAGAGGAGTTCTTGGGCATCTGGCGATTAACATTCATGTGATATAAACACATAAAAAATGAATAAAACAGCATCTTTTGTTGTCATTGTATTCTGTCTTGATGGTTTTCCAATATTACTTTATTGAATTCATCATTGGTGGAGGAAAAAAAGGACATTTTGGAAATACATGAATGAGATCAACAAAATTCTTAGATTACTTAAAGGACTGCAGGTGTATGAAGAACTAAAATTAGATTTCCAAGATTTTCACTTAAACTTTAATCACTGTAAAATCGCTGAGAACTTGTGAAAATATGTGTCAATGTTAAAGCTTTTTCAATTCCATAGAAGAAAGGATGACAAACTAGTTTGATTGTCTGCCCATAAGTAGGACTAGCCACCTAAATTTACACATTGCTGTAAGTGATATAGTATCCCCCTGTCACATTACTTTTCTCCAGTTAATACTACAACAAAGTGTCCATATTTACTGTTTAACTCACTTTTTGTGAAGGAATTCTCCTGCTGCTACTGCAACAGGCCGGTGTGCTGAGTATACCAAGTGGTAAACATTTTCACAGTCTTCATTGGAAAGTGCTTCTTCACTTCCACTGAAAAATTCACAAAGTAAAACATGAACCAAAACAATATTTATATTAAAGTCCACATTCTCCAGCTAAACACATTTATTATATAGTGTTTAGAATGATACATAGTAACCAACATGATATTTCAAATGAGTGGTATATATATTTGGAAGAGGTAGGTGTGGTCAGAGAACCAGTCCAGAAGTCAGAAAAAATACTGTCTCAAGTCCCGCCTCTGACATGTGTGAACCTGGGCAAATCACTTCACCTATGTAAGTTGTCTCAGGCCACAGTGTGATTATAAATTGCAGAGCAGGTAAGGACCTGCTTTGGTGGTAGGAGTTCCTCAGCAGGCACTCCCAGAACAGATGAAATCACAGCCTTCATGGAATAAGTGGAAATTGAGCAATGAGGATCTTCTGGGAAAAGTAAGTTTTCCCCTTATATCCATTCACCCTGCTACTTTTTTCTTAACAATGGCTCTCCCAAACTTCTTTTTCTTTACATTCCTACTGCAATCACTCTAATTTTAGGATTTCATTATCTGACACTTTGACTATTACCCACCTAAGTGCAGTCTCCATTTTATTAGATCAAAGGAAGTGATAGGGAGGCTAGCACCCAAAGAAAGACAGGGATAAATGATTAAGATATTAATGGAAAGGAGGAAGTTCCTGAGGGGTCCAGAAGGAATGGCATACTGATCTGGTCACTGAATTCTGGATAACGTTAACCCAGACTATATTTTAAGATTTCTTGTCCTTGTTCAAGATTCTTATAAATGTTACATGAAATCTTCTTAGGGCAGAAAGACAGGTTTGGAGGACATGGGGAACTATACCAGTTTGAATCTCACGGTCGATAGCAAAAAGTATCAATTTCTTAGCTTGTCATTCAAAGCCCTACACAATACACAGTTCAAATGAACTTTTTCAGTTTTATCTCCCACTATTGCCTTAACATGCTTGAACTAAAACAGAGCAGTTCTTATGCTATTCCCTCCTGGTTTGCTTTGTCCTGTCTAGCTCTATGTAGTATAGCTAAATGGCTCTGTACATTGTGAATCACCAGACAAATAAGGTCATTAATATACAATTTTGAACTGAACCTTCACAGTCTAGCTGAAAGGCCAAGAACTCCCACTTCTCTAAACTCCTATGTAAGTATTTCACCCATTTAGAATATATCACATACTGCTTTATATTGTAGTTATTTACATACTTTAAAAAATCACCTTTACTACATTTTAAGCTCTTTGTGTAAAGGGAAAGATCCATACATTTTAGAGTATTATCTTATGAAAAAAACAGCGAGTCAAAAAACATTTATTAAGTGCCTACTATGTGCCAGACACTGTGCTGAGAGCTGGGTATACAAAGAAGGCCAAAAGATAATACTTACTCTCAAGAAACTCACAGTCTAATGACTAATGAGGGAGAAAATGTGCATACAACTATATACAGACAAGCTACATACAGATAAAATTGGAGATAATTAATAGAGGGCAGGCACTAAAATTAAGAGGGATAGGGAAAGGCTTCCCATAGAAGATAGGATTATAGCTGTGACTTGAAGGAAGCCAGAAGGTGGAGACAAGAGAGAGAATTCTCTTTCATCAGAATTCTCATCAGGGACAAATGTTCAGCTGGGAGATGGAACAGCAAGGAAGCCAGTGTTATTGAACTGCAGTATACGTGGGGGTGTGTAGGGGGAAGGCAGGGAAAAGTAGATGTAATAAGACTGGAAAGGTGGTGGTGGTGGTAGGGTGTTGAAGGGTCTAGAAGGCTTTGAATAAACAGAGGATTTTATATGTGATCCTAGAGACGATAGGGAATCATTGCAGTTTACTGAGTACAGGGGGTGACACAGTCATGCTTTAGGAAGATCCCTTTGGCAGCTGAGTATAGGATGGGGAAAGCCTCGTGGCAAGGAGATGAACTAGAAGGCTACTGCAGTAATCTAGGTGTGAGCAATGTCAGAGGAGAGAAGGAAAGTACAGAAGAGATGTATCTTGGCAACAAAATGGATGCGGGAGGTGAAAAAAGAATAAGGAATCAACGAGGACACCTAATATGTGAGCCCAGGAAGCCAGGAGAATGGTGGTACCCTCAATAGTAACAGGAAAATTAGAAAAAGGGAAAGGTAGAAGATAATGAGTTGTTTCAGACAAGGTTGAGTTTGAGTTGTCTATAGGACACGCAGTTTGAGATGTCTGACAGGCAGCTGGAGATGTGAGACTGGAGGTCAGCAAAGAGGTTAGGGTGGGATAAGTAGACTGAAGAATCATCAGAGAGGATAACGGAATTTATGGGAGCTAATAAAATCATCAAATGAAACAATATAAAAGGAGAAGAAGAGAGCAAAGGACAGAGTCCTGCAGTTCACTCATGGATAGTGGGAGTGATCTTGAGGAAGATCCAGCAAAGGAGACTGAGAAAAATAGTCGATACGTGTGAGAACCTGAAGGTCTGGCTTTGATTATTTGTAATAATGGATATCCTGATTTTCCCTAATCCAAAATATGTTGTTCCTATCTAGTTCCATCTGATATCAAATGAGTTTTTTGTTAAATTTATTTATACATTTTGATTCAACAGACTCTTGCCAACAAACGCATAACCCAAGCCCTCCAAGAAAGTAAAGTGTCCAAAAAATTAAGCAAAACTATCTAATAAGCATAATTTCATAGTTTATCTGGAAAACACATGCATATGTATATTACCACTCAACAAAGAAAATCAATCAACTGAGATTACACTGCTTAGAACTGAATTCATCTGGGGTTTATGTCATAAACCTCAATGGAAAGGAAGTTTCCTGAGGGCAGAGACTATCTCACTTTTATATTTGCATTTCCAGTCTAGTACATTGTCTCACAGATAGCAAATATTTAATAAACTTTTGCTGAATAAATTTAAGCAATTAACCAGAATGAATAACAGATTACAAGATATATTCAATAAATACTAAGAAACTGTCTCTAGTTTCTGACAAATTCTTATATCATGTTTGGGGAGAAGGGAAGGCAAACCTGCAAATCACGTTTATGTTTTGAACTTTGTACTTTCCTCAGTATTTAAAAAGTAGCACATTTTGTATATGGGGGTAGAATACAAAGGTAAGGACAATGGATTTCAGGGGTCTACAGAGATCTGGGAAGGAGTCAAGAAGCATTTTCTCTTCCTAGATACCCAGGAGTGACCAAAGCTGTGGAAATAGCATGAATATGTTGAAAAGAATGGGAACAGTGGATTATTATAACATGGCTGACTCCTACAGAGAGAAGCTGCTTATTAATGACTATTATTTTTGTCCAGTAATTTGACTAGTTCAGAATCCACTTCTTCTACCATCTAGTACATATCTATCTTCCACAATATTTATAGCATGTCCACAATTACAGCATGAAATACCCTAATGAAATCTAGGTAGGCTATATCTACTGTATTCTCTTGATCTACTGTATAGCAAATGTCATAGAATCATAAGATTTAATCCTGGAAAAGAGACTTGAAAGAAATTTAGTCCAAATCTACTGATTTTGTAGACAAGAAAGTCGAGAAAGAAAAGTGAAATGGTTTGCTTAATGTCAGACTGCAAACCCAGCACCCTCTTCCGACTATAGGTGAGCACCCCAATGCCTGACATAAACATACTTAGGAGAAGGACTAGATCATCACTAGACTTTAGGTAATTCATTCACATTGTTAAGAGTATTCTGTCAGCATATTCTTTTACCCCTTATGGAACAGAAGTGAACAAAGCCTTGTTAGGACCATTTGGAGTTTAAACAGAGTGACTCAACCAAAACAAGCATCGTGGTATCTCATACTCTGTGATCTTCCCATCACTACTGAGAGTCAGATGAGGTCCCAAATGGGTCTTTTGGTTTTCACTTGCCCCGAAGCTGAATTTTCATTTAATTGCTGTCTCCCTCAATTAAGAACGTGGGTTCCTTGCTGAGAGCAACTGCCTTTTCTATTTATATTCCCAGCGCTTAGTTAGCACACAGTAAGCTATAATTAATGCTTTCTCACTATCTTCTCGAACAACATACATCTAACATATCTCTGAATTCTCTTCCAGTTAGCAAATTCTAGCATTCCTTGTTCACTATCACCAGGTGACTTGGTAGAGTAGGCTGTACAGGACTAGACAACTAAAACAAAATAAACCACATGGTAACACTGAGAGAATTTTTACATAACAAGAAAAAGAAGGAATTCCTTTTTTTATTAAACATAAGTAACAAAATCAGTCAACAGAAAATATAGAGCCAAACAAAACAATGACAAAGGAAATAAGTATCGTAAAAATATCTATTGCTAAAGTATAACTTTATTCTGATTCAATGTCACTCATGGATTCTATTTTCAGCAGCTTCTAAATTAAGTCTTATAATTTCAAATTCAAATTACTTTTATACATCTTATTCTGTAAGCCTGCTTTCCACATTCCCACCCAGATCCCCAGTCATTGGCACCTGAACTTGGAATCCAGATTACATTAACACCTACCACCCTACTTCCTCATCAGTACATATTTGCCAATCCTCTCCAATGGTGATACCAAGGTGTCATTAAAGGGACTATGACTCTTGATTGCTTTTTCTCAGGTCTATACATAGATCTATATCCCTACCAACATTTCTCCTATTATTTATAACGAACAAGAATAAACTAAGAAGGGCTTATCTGAGCACAATGTTTTGGTTTCTTTTTTATGCTTTGTTTCTTTTTGTTTCAACAGGTAAATTAGCTGGACTCCGTGTGGTAACTTCTCACATTAGCCAAGTGATTTGACTTTTAGCCACAGCATCAATGAAGTACTTTGCTGTACTTGAAATAAGGATGATTTCTAAATTCAAGACATTACTATTAACACTTGAAATACTTACTGAAGTATTAAAGTAACTAATCGAATGGCTTCCACAGCAACATCATATTCCTTATCAAGTGTCATTGATACAATGCGATCCTAAACAAGAAATCAGGAAAAAAATTCACAAAATAAACAAGCTCATATATTTGTTACTGGTAGGTACAAAACTCTTTTGTTTTGTAAGAAACTACAGTTGCATCTCTATGTTGGTAGTTACTAAGTACATAAAGGCACAACACAGTGGATGGGGAAAAAGATGTTCAGATAAGCATGTAATAGTAGAAAATAATATGAACATATAATTAAATCAGAAAGTTTTCATATTCACAATCTAAATGGAAGAAGAGCTTTCCAAAGTATAATAAAACAATTATTAACCACATCTTATTTATACTGTGGCAGTCTACTTTTAAAAAACCATTTAAAACAGTTTTAACTTAGAAACTTCAAGAGTAATGGAACAAATTCCAGTTATCAGGAACTCTTAACAAGTTAAGTTTAATGTGAGTTTGAATACTTTTGCATTTATAGCCCTAATTTTATTTTCCAATCAAATGTAAAATCTCGATCCCTGGAGCAATGAATGACTTAAGGAGAATTGCTACTGCATTAGCTTAGAATACAAAAAATTTAATCCCAAATAAGTCCTAAAAGTTACCTCTCTACTTCCTCTGTTTTAGAATTTATAAAGTCTAAAAGATCTCATTTCCACAATAGGTACCTTGAATCTAACATAATATATATGCTAGCCTGAAAATTATATAATCTAGAATTTATTTTCTATTTTATTAAGTAAGTTTGTTATTTTGCATACAAATTCACACATAATAAAGGATACCTGTTAATTCTATTCTGTAAAGCTTCTAAAAACTTAGCTTCTGAAAACAAATTGTGGACTCTGTGGTTTCATGTGTATTAAAGAGAAATCATCAACACCTCAGACAACCAGCTTACTAATCTGATATAACATCATAGCTGGGAATACGTGAAAACAAGTAAAAGGGTGGTAAAAATAGTGTCAGCACCATGCTCCACTTTTAAGAAAGAAATTATTATCACTTTCAGTAGCATTAACCCTACATAGTTTTATTACAGATATTGCGACTTGTCTTTTCAGTGTTTTAATTTTCATGCTAATTAAGTACACTAATATATGTTCACTATATATAGTATAAATGTAAATATATATAGTACATATATAAGTACAGTAATATAATAGTGAACAAACTCAAAATATCTAAAGGTATACAGCATTTTAAGTAAGTATGTTCTTGAAAAGTATATATATCTAATCTTAAATTAAATGGGAAAGCCATTTCCCCAAATTTTATAGAATTAAACATACAGTGAATGGTTATAAAACAAAGCAATTTTTTGTAATGAAACTAATGACCCTCTCCATCCCCTCCAAATATATTTGTTTTTCAAATCTAAGCTCAGTATTTAAAGTGAGGAATACCTGCATTAAGGAAGTATTATTGCAATAACATTCTTCACTACATATCAGAAATTCACCAACAGTGATAAAACAAAACAAAATCACTAATAACTATATGGTACAAGTTATGTTCTTTTTCCAAATGAGTTTTTCATACATACCTTGAATCTGTTTGTAAACAGTTCCAATTTGGGGAACAATTCTCTATTGGTATATAGACTCTGTAGAGCTTTTAAACACTTCAGCCTGACTTCACCTTGCTAAACAAAAACACAATAGGATTAGCCAGTATTTTGAGTATATAGATAGGCCTGCAATTTTAAAGGAAATCTAAGTAAATATTCTAGTTTGTCACTTATTTAAAGTTCTACTGCAATTTGTTGTAGAAATATAAAGTTAGACTGGAATAAATTGTCAGAAAATCTGTGTTCCATTTATAGTGAATTCTTCAAATAATTTAAAATTCATTAAAAAACTTAAGTTATTTACAAGTAAGATAATTTTTCTAAATGCATATAGTCACTGACAATTAGTACAACAGGTTCTTTTTCATCCACATTACCTCAGAATCTTAGGAAAGTTTCTTTGTTCCCATGGATATCCATATTTAATCAGGGAAAAGGCATACTCCCATCCCCTAAGGTTACTACTGGATAAACTCTGACCAAAATGCTCTAATCAGGAAGTAAAAGATGAAATTCAAACAAAAGGTTAGGGGCTTTAGAGCTAAGTATTTTAAAATTTATAGGGATAACAATTGGAATTTCCTGGGTAAGATGATAATATAAATATGTAAATGTGAGTAACTGAAGATGCTGGGTTGGAGAATTATAAAGGCGAAAAGCTCAACTGAATTCAGGTGGCCTGCCAAGCCCATGGTCAGAGCTGTGATAAATGAAAGGCTTTGAAATTTTAAATATATTGAGGCATGTAGATTGTGTTTCAGATAGAAAAAGAGGTTAGAAAGCAAGATACAAGACAGATTATCTGGAGTAGTACACAGACTAGTAGGAAAAACTGTAATTAAAAGCTAAAGAGAAACCTGGATAAAAGAAATCCAATATAATAATAATGATGATGACAAATTTACATTTATCTAGTTCTTACAAAGTTTACAAACTGCTCTCCTTACATTCATTCTGAGGCTATAAATAAAAATATTATTAACCTCATTTTGTATAAAAGAAAATCGTCAAGAGGCAAAGTGTCTTTCCTAAGCTCACAAAGGGCAGAACAGAGACTTGAATTCAGGTCCTCTAGCTTTATATCCAGTGTTCTTTCTATTATGGCATCCTGTCCCTTTTACAAGATCAGGAAGGAAAATACCAGGAAAGGGCCTGAAAGTAAGGTCAAAAAGAAAGGAAACAGGTAGTGATAACATTGTTAGGCCATATTCATAGTTGAATTAACCACCACAGCAAGGCAGAAAAGTTGAGATCATGATCTTAGTTTATATCGAATAGTTTAGTATGAGAAAAGAGCTAAATAAAAGCCGAAAGGATTCTTATTCTAGGAAATAAGTTCTTGATAACCAAAAGTTTTCTTGCAGATTTATTTGTGAGACCATTTCTGAATCAGATAGGAGGTCCTCTGAGGCCTTTCTAACCCTAAGATGTTGTGACTTCTAGGAGAAAATCTCACCAGCTAAGCTGGTCAGGAAGGAAGTTTCAAGATACAATCTGACCAGAAGTCTAAAAAAGGTAGACTCACATTTTAAAGAGAAAAAGACATTCCTTCTCCTGAAAGCAAAATAGTTATGATGGCTATGATCTATGCTGGAATTGAGGGGTGGAATTAGGGTAAGCTAAACAAAGAACCAATGTCCTAAGGAACAAGACTTACAGGACAGTGCCATAGGAGGATTTGTGGCAGAGTATACCTGGGTGAGGCTGTCAGGTAATGTGAGAGTATGTATGCATGTAATATACATGTACAACGCATACATATAAAATTTATATATGAACAGAATGCCTATTATGTGATGGAAAATATTCTCCTATGTTGCTGTAGGCAAAGAGACTAATAAATTGTTATCAAAGCCCACCTTCTTTCCAAGTCTCCCCTTTCCACTCCACCCCAAGGTCATCTTTTCTGAACGCCTACAATATTGATGAAACCATAAATCACTGTACCAACTGCAAGCCATTCTCATGTGTACATTGTTTTCGGGAAATAAACTAAGTTCTTTGACATTTTATACAGTGCAATTTATATTATTATGCATGGTTAAATGTTCATTGTTTTAAATAGAGAGACAGCATTCTGTACCTAAATTCAAGTTCAGCCCCTGACACATACTGGCCACGTAATCTTGGAAAAGTCCCTCAGCACCCCCAGAAAACCTCTAAGTCTAAGACTTGGAACTAGTACATCCTGTCATTATTAGAGAGATCTTCTTCACGAGTAGCAAGCTATGCTGATGAAATCACAGGTTCTCCTATAACCCTTAATTTGATATTATGACAATGAACTAAAAAGAGAGGAAAGTTCACTTGTCTTTTGATATGCCACACTGGAAAAGGAAGTTGTAATTTGTCATTTCTTCAGACCTAGCAAAGGAATATAGATTTTTACTCAAATCCTAACACAGATCTTAGGTCTTCTTGAGATGCAATATTTCATTTTATTTTAAATTCTGAATGCATCAAAACACTAGAAGGAGAGATTCAGTTTATGTCTGTGTGTCTCAGTACCACCAAGCCCAACATGTGAACAAGTACTTTTAAATAATTTTAAAATTTTCACAACTTCAAATACAAACACCTCAATTCCGAGAAATATAATAATGAAATTAAAGCAAGGCTACCAACAAATAAGAAAGGTCAAAAAATATCTTTCATATGGATGTGAAGCATAATTACTTACCCTATCGTGAAGAGTCCAGCCAACATATTTTAAATAACTGTCATTTAGGAAAGCATCACTATACATTTTCATCCATACTCCAATTTCTTCAATACAAATGGCTCTAATCTCAGCAATTGCATCACTAGAGGGGAAAGAGATCACGCTTTTGAAAAACATTAAAATATGATGCAATTTCACCACCCTAACTCCTAATAGTAATTATTTATTGATCCTTTAAATCAAATGAACAGCTGCCAAGAAAGACTCTAACAATAAATAATAAAGCTCCTATAATAAAGCTCCTATTTTTCTATTTACAATATGCATACATTTTCTAATTTGAACTTGAATTGTGTATTTTTCTAAACAACAACAAACATCTGAGTGAGTGAATAAATGAATGGATGAATGAAACATAATTTGGGCAAGGAACTTTTTTTTTTCTTGACCAAACCTGTCATTTTATCAGTGTGGGGAGCTCCTGGTGTGGAATGTCCTTTACCAAGACTGTTCCTTCTCTGCAATTTAGTCTTACACAGTTATGTAGGCCACTGAGAGGTTAAGTGACTTGCCCAGGATCACACAGCTTGTGGCAGAAGTGGGACTTGAACTTAAATCTTCCTGTCTCTGAGGCCAGTTCTTTATCCACTACACCACAGTGTCTCTCCACGGAGAGCAAGGAAAAAACTATGTAACATCAATTATATTTCTTTGGAGGTAGGAAAATATATGGCAAACAACAGAGTAGGACAATCAATTACGGATACAAACACTACCAATTTTTGATAATTTGATTATCACAATAGATAATTTTGATAATTTGATTATGCACAAATAGAAACCATAGGCTTATAAAGCAATCTTTCATCACTTCATTAGTGATATTTTCTTAATGTTCTACTTTTCCTGAGGCAGAAAATTTGAGACAAAGTGGCAATAAATTAAATTCTAAAACATTTTCTCTTCTCATTTTCCCCTACTTGGCTGATTATGTTTTATAATAAAACAGAAACCAAACTCTTCAAGATTCTGGTCTCATCCTCAGTAAATCTATTCTTCTCTTCCCTCCCCCTCCCCATCTTCCTCAACGTGGCCTTAACATGGTCGCTCCATTATTAACATCTCTTGCTTTAAGGCACTTCGAAATCTACTTATTGAGTCTTGGGCATGTTTTCTTCAAACCAGAATGCCTGTCTTGTTCCACTATTTGGTTGAAGTCTTTTCTTTTCCATCACAGATGAGTTAAAACCAGGGGTGGGGTCTCAAGGTCACAGGTTCCCCACCCTTGAATTAGACTAATTCAAGTTGCACACAATTTAGGAAATCTTCCCAGGCAACTCTAGGCTATATTGATCTCTTCCTTTCCATGAAATCCTAGAGATGTCATCTTAAATAATATTGCAGATTATTTTTAGGTATCTCTCACATTGCTTAGGATAGATAATAGAGTCTTTGAATCTAGGGATCCTGTCAGACCCTTTAGTATCCTTAATATATAGCACACAAGAGATACTTGGTAAATATTTGTTTATGGTTGATGTTTGAAACTGTAGTAACATTGTCACCACTTTGCACTGAAAGATATATCCTTTGCTTTAATATTTAGTTCCCCTCTCTTCATAATATATATTTCCCTGTATATATTCCCTGTACTGTATTAGCAGTTGATGCAACTTAGATATTCTATTCTTTGGTTCATCAGTCTCTACTATTCATGTAAGTTGCTTTCCTATCTCATGCATTATAATTCTACATTTATAAATTCTTTTCTGGACAACAGCATTTGAATTTTGAAAATGTTCCCTGCAGGCTTCTACTGCAGATTTAAATGATTGAGACTACAGTTATATTCAAGCCAAGGTAAGTTTTAACCTCCCTTTCTAGGGCACCTTACCAAAGATACTCACATGAATGGAGTTTGGCATGTTTCTTTCAAACCCTTCAGACCTCATGTTCTATCATAATGTCATCTACTCACCTTTCTATTTTCATTTTACTCTCCCTATAGTAATTAAGCTGTCTCTATGAAGGGGTTGTCAGGATTCTGAGATGCTCCACAACAAGTACTAAAGTAGGTGGTAAGAGTAAATGGATAGCAAAGAAATGGCAACAAGGGATATGTTATCATCTGTTTTCATACTATAAGAACTGCTAGGATACATGACTCTATCATGGTACAGAGTTAGCTTTGTTCATTTTTTAATAAAACTGGGACACCTTGCTGAAATAAATAAGGTAACCCTTTATTATTATACAACTGAGTAAAAAGAAGTATTTACAAATAGGAATGGCATCACACATTTATGAGCATCTACCATGGTTTTAGGTTCCTGTTGTTGACAGTAAGAACTAAATTTCCCTTACCATATCACGAAAACACAATTACTTTTCTGATATTACACTGAAAGGTTTTATTTAACCTGCTATTCCTTACCATAATAAAGTTCCTTTTGACATTGCCGTTTTTATTCCAATAAATAATAACACTACGTTTTCACTTTTGCATTATGGATTACTAAGGGTATTTTCAGTTGCTGATGTTTTTTCTTCATCTCTGACTGAATTTTACTTATTTTTTGTTCAAAATTTTAACGTATTTGGATTTTTTGTTTTGTTACATTTACAAAATACTCTAAGTATCGCCTATAAGGTTAATTCAATATTCCTTGTAACTACTCTTCCTCACCCAGCCTTTAATTATATTAAAAGCACACCTGTCTTTCTACACCCTCTCCCACACTTATTTTTCTCCTGTCTTATCATTTTTGCCAAATCGATGGACTGTTCTACAGAGTTGTTTTGATTTGTATTTATTTTCTTATTAGTTATTTGGAACAACATTCACTATTGTCAGTAGTAGTTTATAATTCTTTTTCTGAAAATTGTTTTATTTCATTCATTTATGTATGGGGGAAGAGTTAGTTGACTTTCCTTTCTCATTCCAGTTATGTTAATTTTGTTCAGACAAAACCTTTTCCAATTCAGGTAACTGACTCTTCATATTTTAATCTTTTTGGAAAAACGTCTATCATTTGTTTGGTTGAGAATTCAATTGCTGTGAAAAATATCTAATTATTTTAAAAAGGTCAGAAAATGGCATGATAGACTTTAATTCTTCCTATGATTTTATAAACTAATTTGAATGATAACCTAGTATGCCTTTGATATCCATTGTTTACCAAGGAATGAATGAGATAACATGGAAAGCACTTTGCAAACCAAAAATGCTATGTAAAAGCTGTCATTACTATTTGGCAAATTCTGTTTGTTTGTTTGTGTTTAATCTTTTTGAAAATTTATTTTAGTTTTCAACATTTACTTCCCCAAAATTCTGAGTTCCAAATTTTCTCCCCATTTCATCCCTCCCCCCACACCATATTCATATGTTTTCGGACTAGTGTGTTTTCTGGACTCTTTTGGTCTACTAATTGTGGCAACTGATTTACACTGGTCAACTTCTACTTGAAATTATAGTGAACGTTTATGTTACTTTTGTTCTCTATTTTCCATTTTTATTTTTATTTATTTAAATGATTCACTCTTAAAGTGATTTCAGTTGTATAACGATTTTCTCTCATTATCCCTTCCTTTTGTTTTTAATTCTGATAAGTGGGTGGTTTGACCATACAGGCAACTGATTTAACATTTAACAAGTTTTTTCCTATTTGCTTAAATATAATCTATTTTGTTATGATATTAAATGAAGCTAATCTTATCCAGAAACTACCAGTTATTATTTTTTAAGAATGTCCATGATTTAGAGATGTGAGGCTACACAAGGATCTTTAATTCAAAGCATATCCATTTTAAGCTTATTGTAGTATATGGTGTAAAATATTGGTCCAAGCCCTGTGTGGTATTAAAAGTATATTTCACTGAATTAAGGAGAAGCTTGAAGTCATTAAAATCACTATGTAATTTTGCAAAATAAACACAGTCTGTACTCATTTTGTTCAATTCTAGGGTCAACTCACTATTTATTTGTAGTGTCTGTTCCAGATTGATTAATGAACACTATAAATTGTACCAAAAAACATTGTATACAGAAGGCTGGATAATGGTTATTGTTTGTTTACTTGTTTTTTCTCATATGGACATTAAGGCCAAGTAATAAAATATCTGTGATGTGTGAGTCAGTACAAGCATCTCATTTAGGAAGCTATGCAACATTCTGGACCTTGATGCAATTAGTAAAATATCGTGTGCAAAAAGGAGCATTTGTAAGATGTCAACATATACAGCAATTCTTTCTCTGACTTGGAATCTGCACTGTATTTCCTCCACAACAGAATTAATCAACTTCCCCACTCTCAGATTAGTTCTATCCACATGTTTGGTATCTGCTGGTGATACCATCATGTTTAAATACAACAGGTTTAAAAATGTGAGTCATTTCATCCTTTTGTCTTCCCTCTCAATCTCCCTTTTCTGCATCCTTCCCTCTCTCCTCTCTTTCTTTCCTCTGTCCTATCAACACAGAAATGGATTTAATGAGTGAATTAATTTTCATCACTGATAATATTGGTGTAAAAAAGTCCAATTAAACTCAATTCAATATAACAAAAATTTATTAAGCATCTACTATGTTCAAGATATTGTGCTAGGGGTTAGGGACAAAAAAATGAAAAATGCTCCCAAAAAAACCTTTCATCCTAATGAAGGAGATACAACTTGTGCATAGATAATGACAATAAGAAGTAGGAACTGGGCTAAAGAGTACAAGACTATTTGATTTTAAAAATCTGAGGATGTTACTTCAACCTGCATTTATAAGTTTTCTATTTCCAATTGTAGAAGATTGAAATTGTCCTTTGTTAAAGGAATTGTACATAGAAAGATTTTTTTTGAGTAGGAGTGCGCCTAAAATTACATACTTATGATCTCTCCCCCAAGATACTCTTTCCATGTGGAAGTTGGGATGCTATAAGAACATTGCATGAGATGCTAGAGCAGTTTATGTCTTTGTGAATGGCTTTGCCAAGAACCTTGACTTTCCTGCCTCAGGAAAGGTCCATCAGTAGGATCATTCTTTCTTGAAATCTTCCCAAAATCTGTAATCATCTCTGTCTAATTACCTTAAGAACATGTCTCTCCCTGTTTCTTTAACCCAACTTCATCTGCTCTTACATTCACATACATGTTTTATATTTTGTGTTACATTTTATATTATTTTGCTTAATATTTAAAGGCAATTTCACATCATACTGCTCCCATATGTCTGGTAACACACCTGTATGTCCATTACATATTTTCTTTCCCCGAAATAATAAGGTTTTGACAAAAAAAAATGTATAAGTATAGAATACATCTTCTCCATTCACAGGGAGTATTACTATCTTACATAAAATTACTAAAACAGAATCCAGGATACAGGACTGGAACGGAGTTCTTAATCTTTTTTGTGTCAAGGACCCCTTTGACAGTCTGGAGAAGTCTACAGTCCCTTTCTGTGAACAATATTTTTAAATGTGCAAAGTAAAATATATGGGATTACATGGAAACCAATTACACTGAAATATAGTATTTTAAATACATTATATTAAACATCAAGCTTATGGGCCCTAGGTTAAGAACCTGTAGAACAGAGTAAAGTTGACTTATCTTCCCAATGAAGTGACTGGTTAATATATCCATTACATAAGAGCAGCTTGAGGAACCAAGTGAAGGAAAAAGACTAGTAATAACTTAGCGTCCTTTAATCCAGTTTTCCAATACTTCAAGGAACTGTGATTTTCATACATGTGACTACTTGCTCCATTGATTTAGATGCAAATGCATGTTATAACATATACTCAAAACCTTATAACTCAGTAAACTGCTGTGGATAATAAAATTATGTTCTGCATCCAGCCTCGTAATAAGTCTTTCTCAACTTTCCTACACTGTGTCTTAGACAACAAGTAGGCCCATCATTCCTACCCAAAGTCCTCCCTAATACTCTGAAATTTAAATAATTTAATAGCTTATAAAGTATTCCTAGAAAACAGCTCTGAATGACAATAATTAGGAACATTCATAGCTTCACAAAGAAAATAAAAATGAGACAGCGGGGTATAAGGTAAGAAAACACCAGTTGCTTTAATTATAATTTCATCTCTTACCGGTATCTATGAACAAATATACCCTTAAAAATAGAGTTCATCATGTTTTCAATTTCATCTTGGTTTTCTTGCAGCTGAAATAAAAATCAAGTAATATTATTACCTCTTATTTTGAAATAGTGATCACTTCTTTTAGTAACTGACAAAAATATTACTAGATATCTATTTAATTAGGAATTAAAAAGGCATTTGGGTATAATACACAGTTTTTAAAATTGTATAGTTTCTTAGTTTCTCTTATAAATTGAAATACTTTTAGGTATAGAAATGATAATGTATTACAAATATAATATACTTGTAATTTTAGATTTAAAATTTTAAAAGATTTTTCTTTATCATAGATTTTAGAGCCAGAAGGGACACGAGAGATCATCCAGCTCAAATCCCTCACTTAGCAATGAGAAACTGAGGATCTAAATGGTGAAGTGACTTGCCACATGTGGGTAATAAGATACTGAGTCAAGATTTGAACCTTTGACTCCAAATCTAGCTCTATTACACTACGCTGTCTCTAGTTTTAATTTTTAAATTACAAAACCAGAAAAAAAACTGTACAAATTAATTATATAAATGTGAATTGACCAAACTAGTTTTCAGGGAAAAAAAAAGCAGTACTGTATAAAAATGAGTTTATTTATATCTTAGATAAATAATGGATTTCTCTACATATTTTCTTTTATATCAAATTTTATATTATATAAAAAAGCAAGGAAACCAATTCCTTCGCTTACATCTTAGTTTTGCTTACCTCTTTGCGTTTCTGAAGTAGTAACTCCAGCCTTTCATTAGCTCGCTTACCAATCATTTTGTTTCTTTCTGCTTCATACTGTCTTTGTGTATTATCCTGATGAATACTTAGGTTTAAGGCAACATTCACCAGAGCAGTCATAAGCTTCATGGCTATGAAAAACAAATATTTTATCATCAATTATTCTAAATTGAAAACACAAAACTATAAATTATAAAATTACTGAAAAATTTAAATCCCATTAGTCATACCATCCATATAAAAATTCTATTGTAAAATAAATACATGAACTCCATCCTTCACACTATATATTCTCTATGTCTTACATGCTGTTCAAGACTTACCTACTCCTTGACTAACATCATTGAGATTCAGTTACTGCATTCATTTAAGTATTCCTGTACAATTTAATTATATAACATGGCTAATTCTGAGATAGAAACTGATTTGGAAATAGATGGATTATAAGCCTGGTGAAAAATCTCTGAGAATTTCCCTAAGAAAAACTACCTATTTTTATATGGCTATTTGCAGATGAGAAGATGAATTAATACGAGAAGCAAATCTAAAAGTGCTATACTAATGCTAATTGTTATTGTTATTATCTGTCTAAATGTAATGCAGTTTCCACTGTGTGTAAATTAATAGTTTTAACATGAAAGATTAAATTGGAATTTCTTAAGAAAAAATGTAATTTGTTTTTATAATTTTTGAAATATTTTCAGTCTCAATATTTTTGAAGAAGGCAAAATATACACATTAAATGCACATCTGAGCTTCAAGTTGATTTTTTTATATTATTTATTTATTAGGAATTTGGTGACAGAGATAGGATAGAGAATAGAAGGATAACATGTTGGGTAAACAGATACTTATTTGGTAAAAATATGTAAAAGTATTTCCTTGAACTTTCGTGTTGAAGGAAATGACAAAGTATACAAGAATCTTTGTCATACTTATCTGCTTCATCATGAAATGGAGGTAAACTGGGGTTATCTAAGGCTGTAGAAGCTAAATGCAACCAGTGATAGATGCTAACAAGCTACAATGGTTTTAAGGGCCCAGTGATAGATTATGTCTACTCCAAGGACCAGCGTAGTATGGGAATCTTATAATTCTATAATTAAACAAAGACATAAACTCGTATTTTTCATAGAATATCTTTCTTATCACCAGAGGACTAGCTACCAGGTAATTTTTTTTTGGTGGGGGTAGGGGATGGGGAAGGGTGGTGGATCTTGGCAGGAAAAAGAAGAAGGCACAGTGAACCAGCAAACAGAAAAAAATACAAAGTGACTGTCAGGTCTGTTTACAGTGTTAAAACTGAAAACTGGGGTAGTGGGTATTAAGATTTATATAATTCCTGATATTCTCAATACCTTGTTCAGTGACTAACAAGTTGACACACAATTAGAGAAACTGAATTATATTCATATTGTCATTCTTGCTATTAAAAAAAATGTGATCAGAAAAGGAAGTAGACTGATCATGTAGCAAGAATGAAACAATAGAGATATTAGTATCTCAAGAGGTAATTAGTATCTTTTAGAAACTAAAAGAAGAAGGGGAAGCACTCCAATGAGTTGAATGGATTCTCCATGGAGGATTTAAGAAAGAACATGGATGAGAAGACTAACATAGGAAGAGAAGGCACTGTGAACTGGTTGGAAGGAATAACTTCCAATGGATGAAAACATAGAGCCATCCAAGTATCAAAGTAAAAAGAATGTTTCTCTAACTTATCTTACATTTCCCTCCCAACAAATGCATACCTTCAAGAACTTCTAACTGAAAAGTAAACCAATATCATTTACTGAAGTATTACTGACACCCATACTTTATTTTCCCATCTTTAGGAAAAAAGATGAAAGCTTAAAAGTTTTTAATGAAACATTCTTATTAAAGCACTCTTTTCCCAATAATCTTAATACAACAATAATTTATATTTGGGCAAAATAATTTTATGTTTATTTTCAGGCCATAAGAATGAGAATACCCAACTGTTGTGGAAAGGCTTTTCTCAGCACTTGAACAAGATTAATCTGCCTGAGTGTTAACAGGTTTACAAATTTGGAAACAGATACTTCTCCACTAATGAGCCCTCAGGTAGAATTCTATTTTAATAAATATCATTATAATATCCAATTTAATATGATACTATCCTGTAGTCTAGTCAATTCCCCAGAAAACACTGCTTTGTTGATATTCAAAAGTCAATCTATTTAAATGAAGTATTAATTTGGCTGTGACAATTTTTTAAAAACTACATACTTGGATGATTTTAGTAGGTTTTATATGTTGTCTCTCGCTAATTTCACTGTGTGTGCATTATTTCTTTCTTTTTTTTGGTTTGTTTTTTTTTGTTTTGTTTTTGGGCAGTTAGGGTTAAGTGACTTGCCCAGGGTCACACAGCTAGTACGTGTCAAGTGTTTGGTCTGAGGCCGGATTTGAACTCAGTTCCTCTGACTTCAGGGCCGGTGCTCTATCAACTGCGCCACCTAGCTGCCCCTGTGTGCATTATTTCTTAATTTAAATGTAGCATTGCAAAAGCATTATGAAATACCCGTAGGGAAGATGAGAGGTAGGACCTGGATAGGCAAGGACCTGAGGCATCTGAATTTGCTAGGGATAGTTTTAATTTGAATATCTTACACTTAGTAGGCAGTACCCAATAAATCTTGATTTTAAATATTCCTGAGTATAAGAAATCATAGAACCTAAAGGTTAACTGAAGCTGCATTTTCCCCAGCCATGTTCATACTTCAGGGTTGGGCTATCATCACAATACTGGTTAATGCTTAGATGTTGTAACTCACATAATAACAAAATAACTGATAATTTGGTTATATCTACATGTAAGCCATTTGAACTCTAAGAACCAACAACCAAGAAGATTTTTCCTATTTCTCCCTAAACCCCAAAAGTATAGTTTCAAAGATATATTATATCTGCTTATATATTATAATACTAATAATAGTAGTATAATAGTACAATATAATATTATAGTATATGGTATAATATAACAATAGTAGAATAATAGTAATAATATAATACTACTATTAATAATACTAAGATATTTTACTAATATGTTATATAGTGAAATAGTTATAGAAAAAATAATAAACAAAGGTAATATTTACTTGTTCATGTTCACTGTTTTGGAAACAACATTCTCACTTACAGAATATTCCCATGTTTCCCTTCTTCCCTTTTTCCAAGTACAGAGAAAATAACTTCTCTAAACATAGTGTTTGGAAAATCTTGTTATTTGGGCATTATTTCCTTTAAGTGGGCAAACACAACAATACTTTTTACTACAGTAAAAACATCTTCATTTTTAAAAAAGGTCTAGATATAGTATAAGAATCTTAGTCTCCATTTAAATTTTTAAAAGGTTTTCTGCATACAGGTATTACTCAGTAAATACTGCTGACTAATGGTAATGCATTCGGCAAAAATTAACATTCTTTTAAGCAAATGGCAAGAAAGACATGGTGCTAAGGAATTAGTACCCTGGTACCACCTTGGCGATCCTACATACACAAAAGAAGAATGCTCTGGTTTAGAATTTTTGCATAGCACCATTCTAGTTCACCCTACTCCTCTCTACACTAAGCATTTCACTTATGTGTTCCTGCATTTTACAATTCATCATTACCTGTCTGCCCATTTACACTTTCTTTATATAGGAGACAGATTTAGAGCTAGAAGAGACCACAGAGGCCACCCAGTCTTTCTTTTGCATTTATTAAGTGTCAAATATGTGTCAGAGAGGACATTACTTATGCATATGTATGGAGAAATGACTACTGCTACAGAGGTACACATTGTCAATCCTACTTAAACTTCAGGAGGATTAAAAACAATTGTACACTGACACTTCATTATCAAAATGTGATGGATTTTTCTTTCTTCGCTATTTTAGCTTTTATCTTAAACTGTATTATTTATTCTCATCAGAAAGGGGAAATTTAGGACTGAAATAAGCATCCTCTAGTATTCCAAAGATGATCGACACTATATCAAAATCAACAGCTAAGTAAGTGGTCATGAAACTCTCTCTCATTTATAACGGTTTATAGACATAGGCTAACTCTTATTAATAATAATTTACAGCTAGAGGGTAGGGGGAGTTGTTAAAGAAGACACCAGAAATTAAGTTCATGAGATAATGGCTGGCAAGGGTTAGGAGGAAACAGATGCCTTGAGAGGTTATAGGATCTGTCCAAGGTCACAGCACTAGCCAGGGTCAACTCTAGGAGAGAAAGCAAGGCTTCCTAAATTTAAATGGTTCTCTTTCTAGTGCTCCATACTGCAAAGTTTACTTATAAGGATCTCGGCATCAAGGTAGCAGGGTCAGAACCTGAGTGGGGGGGCTCTCAGGAGAGGAGGACTAATAGCCAACAAGAAAAACACAGAAAAAAGGAATCAAGGGAGCCCAGAGGTCAGCTGCTCCCTAACTCAAAACCCTCAGTGTAGTCTGGCTAGTCTGTTTGAATTCAACAGGCAAAAGTTGTATTCTTGTAATTTTTTTTCCATTAGAAAGTATAACAGATTTTGAGAAAGTTAGGGCACAGGATACCTAATATTACCCCTCAAGTACACAGATGTGAGCTGATAATATAAAACGTCCACTCACAGGATACTCTGCACAGTAATACAATATGGTCACTGCTGTAAAAATCAGAGGCCCTCATATCACAGATTTTAAAAAGTTATATGGGATTTTGAGGCCAAAGTATTTCAGCACAGTCCCTAAGTATAAGGATCCTTTCAAATCAATGAAACACATTTATTTAGTCTGTTATATACAGGGGCACTGTGCTAGGTGCTTGGGATATAAAAATGAAATAAGATATAGAGCTGGTCCTCAAGAAGCTTATCCCTACAATAGTAAGACTTTGTCCCAATACCTCCAGTGAAAGAGAACAAACATTCTAAAGATTCTATGTATCAGTCCTGACTTTAACTACTTTAATTATAGTTTATATATGATTTTCAGACCTTCATCCACTGTGAAATTCTCTAGTTTGTCATAGATCTTCTCAAAAGGTGGCACCCAGACAGAAAAATAATATTACACACATGCTCTAAAACATTTTTAAATGCTTCTATGAATATAATACAATATCAAGTTAGTTTTTTCATTAAA